ACCGCATACTGACCACGTAGTAGGGGATCTTTGCATCTCCCGGATAGGCAACTACAGCAGCATTGGAAGCGGGTTCGGTCTTGCGAAACTTAATTGTATTCCATCTTGCTCCCGTGGAGTCCAGCGTTTTGCCACCAGCCATCTTGAGCCTGAAATTTTCGGGAGTAAATATCAAGAGTCCCTGGTGTGACTCTCCCTTAACTGCCTTCTTTAAAGCCTTTGCAGCAGTCGCTTCTGGCTCCTTCCCACCCCTCTTTTTCTTCACCTTTTCCACCTTCAGGTACCGAAGTTTTGTCTGAAATATTTGCTCTTTTGCATTTGACCCTTCAGCCATCGTTCGAAAAGTTGGATTCCAGAGATATGGCCTCAAAGCGGGTTGATTATTGAACTGCAAGCATTCGCGCCAGTGAGGCTTTTAAAGTGACTACGTTTGCGTCAGGCAGTCACGCGCTGGCGTGGGTGCGGCCTGTTAAGTAACTCACTGGTGTACCAATCTTCTGCGGCAGGCCTACCTCGCGTCCTGCGTTGTTGCTTGAGGCAAAGCTAAAAGTTTAGGTATATTGTCAGCTGATACTGAAATAGCTCCAACGCTGTGCACATCAGTGTTTCGGAATAGTTCCCAGACTTGCCGTTCTAAGCAGTCGCTTTGTTACCAAACAACATAGAGCTTTCGCAAACTTTTGCGTTTTTCCGAGCATTCTCCTCCTGAGTTTTCTTTCTAAACAACACAGAGCTCATTTTTACTGGGAGAAAGATAATCAACGCACTGCGTTCAAAAAACCAGTAGATTTCCAAAATACACTGTCAAACTTTAATAAGTTAGAACTGCAACATACTTACTAAGAATATCTTAATGTTTTTTTTGCCAACCTTCTTCAAGACATGGTGAGTTTTAATATAACTTTCATGTGTTCTTTGTCAAACTGTTTTTACCGTGGGATGTAGTCGAATATCGAAACAGACGGCTGATAGCAGCGGCCTCGAAAACAGGTGACGGAATTTATGATGGCAGTAGCTGCGTTTGATCGCAATGACAGACACGGTGTAATTGGATAGCGCTTACCCCAACTCTCGTTCGTCTTGCAAATACGCAACAGCAAAATCCTCCACCGTTAGTTTAACCAGCCACAGGATTCGATTTTCGCACAGAGTAGCAATGATTGACGGGACAGAAAAACTACCGTGGAACTTTGCTGTATGCGCTCAAGGATTTTCACATAAATGCTGTTATTATTGTCATCTAATTAGGCCTGACGGATTGATTCGTCGTTTGCCAGTTGTAGTGCTAGAAATTGCATTCTTTTCAGCCGACTCTGGTTGAGTGCAAACTTTGCTACTTAGCGTTTAATCTGCACTAGCTCTCTTCTCTTCTTTCAAAGGTTATTTCCAGTTACAAGCGACTGCAATCGCTTTACATGTTTACACGTATGTTTCGTATGCATAAGCAAATAACATAATTGTACAAGGACTTGCCTGTAACTAAATAAGGCAAGATGAACTAATAAAAACAATGTTTTTTGATGGTAGCCTAAAACTAAAAAACATACAGATAAGCGACGGAGGCAAGTAACTGGGTACAAATATTTCAGTGCCCTTAACCGGTCCGACGATTGTCTAATTCCGCCGCAACTTGAACTTATTAGGAGGTTTGGCAGATTTTCTTAATTTGAGTCAACCCAATTGTGAAAAAA